CTGTAAAAATGTAATCTGATACAGTTACTGCCAGTAACATAATCCAAGTATCACAGTGTTAAAATAATGAATTACTTTCTTTTGGATTATCTCAACACTATGTGCAAATAAAAAACACTAGAAAGTAAATATCAATAAGAAGTATTGATGCAAACTTTTTTGTATCCTGATTACTTTTGTCAGCTACATGTAATCCATTACTTCCATACTTACGTATGCATATAAAATATTACTCAGCTTATGTACAAGTACCTAAATATTGGCGAGAAGTGCTTAAATTAGCAAAAGTAAAAGTACTAATGAAAAGTTATTGTTATTGTTGTTACTGATGCAATTCTGTAATCAGCATTTTATTGTTGTAGTTGTTCGAGATGGAGCTGATCTGAAGTGTATTTAACTATACTGTTTAATATATTTTATATACAAGAAAAACAAATTATAAACTTTATGCATTGTAATCATATTCTTTATACATTTAAGTCAATGCAATGTAACTAAAGCTGTCAGGAAATAATATTTACACTCTATTTACACTATCACTAAGTGCTATATGTTAGTTTTAACTGTTCAGAGATACAGTAACCAAACTTTTCAGACGTTTATCTTTTTTCTGCAGTGTATTTTGGGTCTAAATATTTCTTTGTGCATTCATAAACGTATATGTGATTAAACAGCATAAAGCCCTTATTTAAAATATGTTCCAGGAAGGCCTAATCTATACAAAAAAGGAAGCTGAACACGAATACTGGTGCGTCTGTATGTGCAGCCTCTTGATGTACAGCGTTCAAACAACCCAAATACGCATGTGCATCGTTGTGTTTTGTCAACAACAAAGGGTCACAGTGTGTTGCAGTGTGTACACGCCGCTCTGGATGTAAAGGTCATAAAGTTAAATGTCTCTGACGTGTGTTTTTGGGCTGCAGAGTGAGTTTAACTGCAGAGGCTTGTGAAGTAATCGATGTTATTAATATTGAGCAACAGCACAGCTTTGTTTGCTCTGGAGAACCCCTTTACGCACACGCTTGGCAAGGAGGTGAAAA